TGGCACTTCCTCGGCACCACAGGGGGTGTTCTGGGGTTCATCTCCCTATCCGTTGCGGCCTCGCACAGCGTGGCAGGCGTGGTACTTCCTCGACACCACACGGGGTGCGCTGGGGGTGGTTTCCCTATCCGTTGCGGCCTCGCAAAGCGTGACAGGCGTGGCACTTCCTCGACACCACAGGGGGTGCGCTGGGGGTGGTCTCCGTATCCGTTGCGGCCTCGCAAAGCGTGGCAGGCGTGGCACTTCCTCGACACCACAGGGGGTGCGCTGGGGGTGGTCTCCCTATCCGTTGCGGCCTCGCAAAGCGTGACAGGCGTGGCACTTCCTCGACACCACAAGGGGGTGCGATGGGGGTGGTCATCATATCCGTTGCGGCCTCGCACAACGTGGCAGGCGTGGCACTTCCTCGACGCCACAGGGGGTGCGCTGGGGTTCGTCTCCCTATCCGTTGCGGCCTCGCAAAGCGTGGCAGGCGTGGCACTTCCTCGACACCACAGGGGGTGCGCTGGGGGTGGTCTCCCTATCCGTTGCGGCCTCGCAAAGCGTGGCAGGCGTGGCGCCTCCTCGACACCACAGGGGGTGCGCTGGGGGTGGTCTCCCTATCCGTTGCGGCCTCGCACAGCGTGGCAGGCGTGGCACTTCCTCGACACCGCAGGGGGTGCGCTGGGGGCGGGGGCGCCACACCATGAAACGTGAGAGCCTTGAGAGCTGCTCGCGGGGTGGGGGTGGGGGGTGTGCGGGCGAGAACTCGTATCTGATCCAGACTTGTAAGCACCTTGGCTCTAGCTGGCTCGGCGCGCCTGCGCTCTCACGCGGGCGTTCCTGTAATCTATTTCGCGCGGCAGCCATGCCCCCCAAAATCGCTTTGGACGCGCTGCCACCTCCGTGTCTGGCGATGCAGACTGCAATGGTTCAGATGGGCGGCGAGGTCAGCGTGGAGAGTTCGCGCAGGTGCGCCGTCGCAGTGGTGCAGTCCGCTTTGAATGCGCACCGCCGCCGGCTTGACAATTGGTGGCCCGATGCGCTCTACGCGAAGTACTCCGGGATGAACGACGACGGCAAGAGGCAGTGCCTGGTTGCGCACCTGCGGGACCCTGCGTCGGGCGGGTTCCCTTCCGAGGCTCTTTCGGATCAGCCGGAGGACAGGGGGGGAGACCGCGGCGGGCCGCCGGCGAAGGTTCGGCGAGCGCGCGAGACCGCCAGCGCGGGCGCTGACCCAGAGCCCCCGTCAGCACTGCATGCCACCCCTACCGTGGAGTCCACGCCGACGAAAGCGCTGCCAGCGCAGGCTTTCACCCCGCAGCGGTCTCCAGCAGTTATGTTGGCCACTTCTGTTCGGTCCACTGGCGCGCCTCGCATTCAGCAGCCCCCTGGGCCAGCGGAGACGGATCGCCGTTGGGCAGAAGGACCTTGGTCGCAAGGTCTGCGAGAATCAATCCAGTTCGAGAACCTGTCGGCAAAAGCGGATTCGAAAGCAGTCAAATGGTACGCGGAGTTCGCTGCCAAGCGAGCTGCTGATCCTGAGTGCTGGCCGTCGAGATGGGGCGGCGATGCGGCCTTGTAGCAGGCGCTTTACAGGTACTGTGCGAATGCTGGATCCTGCAGAGTGGATGTGCTTACCCTTCGTCCGTTCGCATTGCAGCCTGACGTGCTCGGCGGAGCTAGCGCCGAGTTCTACGGGGAGGTGAGCGACGTCGCCCCCTGGTTCCCAGGGGGGGAACGGGGTCGTTCCCGCAGCCGTTCCATTGATTTTTGAGCGCGACCGAGGAGCAGGTGGTGCTTGGAACAGGGGCATGTCCGGCCTGGTTAGCAGGTCGTGGATACTGCGTCGGACTGCGTAGAACCCTCGAAGAAGCTTTAGCCAGGGCGCAGATCTTCAACGCAACAAGCCCAGCGACAGTTTCGCATCATGGTGGTCTCATTCACCAACGATCAGGCCGTGCGCGCTTTCACGCGGACTGTCGAAATCGACGGGTGGACGTTGCCATTGTTGTGCAGGCGCCGTCGACGGGCGACGAATTACCATTGGAACGGGGACTTACGGACCACATCCGCCGACCGCGCAGTGGAGTTCCGCTCGCTGACATTGGCGCGACGCGCTGCAGATGCGCTCAGAGGCTTTCAGCCGAAGAGTGCGCTTGCTTGTGTGTCCCGTGGTCGGAGGCCTTGCGTCGAAGATTGCGTTCCATAGCATTCGTGTTCCCTTAGACCTGATCGGAGGCTTTCCGCCAAAGATCACGGTCCGTCACGCCTGTTGGTCTCGGAGGCGCTGAGGATCGTTCTCCAATTGGCGTCCGGAAAACAGAAGAAACTCCTCCTCTCCTTTCTACTTTGTTTCCTTTCTCCGTGAAGGGCGCTCCTGTCCTCTCCCCTCTGCCTCCCTTCGACCCCCCCTCTCCTCCCTCCTTCCGTCCTGCTGCTACTGCTCCTCCTCCTCGAAGGCTCGGGCGTCGCCGCCGCCGCCCGCCGCCGCCGCCGCCGCCGCCGCCGCCGTCGTCGTCGTCGTCGTCGTCGTCGTCGTCGTCGCGACAGATGCGTCGCCGCACTTTCACCGTTCGTCGCAGAGTTTCAGTTTGATCTGGTCAACGGAAGAACAAGCTAGGGATTTCTCAACGTGGTTTGGAATGAATTGTGTGACATGGCGAGGCCCGCGGTGTGGCACTGTGACACAGTTACGCTGCCGAGGTGACCTCCCTCATGAAGTACGGATGCAACAACGTCACCTGGGTCAGGCGTGGATGCCGTTGATGAAGTTGCTGTGCAATCGCACCGATTGGTCGCAGCGCTGCAAGGTGGGGTGCTCGGGCTCCTCGAACACGACCACGGTCACCTCAGATAAAGACGTATGGGGTCTGGTTCGTGTCGGCGCCGACGGACGTGCAGTGGGAGTTGGGTCACTATCGCAAACGTGCGCTCACTTCGGATTGGCCACTTCGAGAAGTGCGGCAAGATGCTGGCGAAGTTGCTGGCGCCCGCATTTTACCAGGACTGCAGGCGCGCCAGCCCAGGCTCCGCGGTACCAGCCTACTGAGTATGAACTCGGCGCGACCCCAATTAGGGGACAACTTTTTATTGCATGGGCGCAGTGCTTGGCTTTGCTTGGCATTGCTTAGCATTGCTTGGCATTGCTTGGCATTGCTTGGCATTGTTTGGCATTGCTTGGCATTGCTTGGTATTGCTTGGAACGGGCACAGTAAGAATACGTGGCGCCGTGGGCGAGGAACCCGGAAAACCTGGGTAACCCCGGGGAACGCGCAACGTAACAATACAAGGCACTGGGGTCGGGGAGCCTGGGGGACCCAGGGAACTTGGGGAACCCCGAGCAACGGGCAACGTAAGACTCCGAGGCGCCAGTTATTAACCCAGTGTGAACCCGTAGGCAAGCCTAATTGGGGCGCCAATTGCGTTCAACGCTTGGCCTTGCGGACCCGGCGTCTTGGCCATCGTTGCCGCCGCAGTGCACAGTGACGGCCTCTTTGCAAATGCTCTCGACAAGCATGAAGCCGCCCGCACCTACTATGCTAAGTCCGACCTTGAGCGGCATGCCAATCTTCCGTTCGTACGTCGGATCAGCAGCAGCACGATGGTTCGGGACGGCAGGCTCGTCGCCATTTTGGCGCCTGCCGCGTTGGTCTTGCCTCTGTGTGGGCCCAGGTGATGGTAGTCGTTCGACCACCTGCATTATCTCCGACCCACTTCGGATCCGCCTCTGGCAACTCTTCCCATTCTCCTGGCACCGTTAGAGACGGGTGCAACACTCAGCGCGGCTGTCGATTCCTTCGGCCACCCGCCAGGAATTCCAGGCCTTTTTGGACCAACCGTTCTGACTTTCTGCCAACCCTGCTGGTACTGATGCCATGCTCCCATCTGACTGCAGCCCCAGCACTTGCACGGGATCTGCCACTGCGCCCGCTGTCACGTCATGTTTCGCGACTCGACTTGGCTTGCGCCATGTTCCCCAACCTTGGGCCTGCTGCCCTGTTTTCCCTGTCTCCGCTCGAGCCACTTACCTCGCGTAGTCCGAGGTGCTCCCGCTGGAGGTTTTCCGGCGGGTTCTTCCCGAGCTGCTGGGCTCGTGTCTCCCACCCCTTCGCCTGATCTTTGCGCCCGCCCTTTGATTCTCAATGCCACATGCGAGAGTTTCTGAACCCAGAGAGAACCAGGCCACTTCTGGGGTCGCGAAGATGAACCACGCTTTGCGCGTCAGAGAGGGAGAGAGAGAGAGAGAGACTCTGACATTCGCCCCTGTGGTTTTTCAATCCGCGCCCCAGAGGTCTGGATCCTTTCCCGGCGGGTAGTGTTGCGTCCCGGATCCGTTCGTGACGGCCCCGGGAGGGCGAGAAAGAGAGAACGCAGGAAGCGGCGAACAGGTGCGCGGAGGCTGGGGAGAGGAGCAAGGATGGAGGGATGATGCGGGACGAGGGGCAGGGGAGGAGGGGAGGAGATGCGGCCGGTGTTCTGTACCCAGAACGAGAACCCCACCACGAGGAGGGTTGGTGAGACACGCAACGCAACGCAACGCCCGATCGGCCCAGGGTCGGTCCTGATACAGAACGCGTTGGTAGACATGCATGGCGACAGTTCCTTCGGAATGTCATCCGAAAAGTCCGGAAAAAAAATCGTAGCAACAGCATCTCTTCTTCGTCTGGACAGATTACGCGGACGCAGCCACGCCTGTGTCCTCCTCCTGGCCACCCCGCGGCTGCGGAGTTCCCGCGTGCAGGCCGTGCAGCGCGCGGGCAAGGTGGCTTCAGGTCAGAACTGCAAGGGCTTTTTTTATACCCTCGGGTTTTTGTTGCACCCTCGGGATTTTTATACCCCCGACGACCCCCAACAAGACTTGGGCGACTTTGGGGGAAGAACAGGAGGAGGAGGGGGAGGAGGAAGAGGGGGAGGAGGAGGCGGGTTGCAAGATGTGGCCTCTTGGGCCTGCGGGCGAAGCGGGCAGCCGGCAGGCCAGGCGGCGCCAGAGCAGGCAAGGGGGGGCCGGCCGCCCCGAGGACTGGCCGGGCGTCGAGTCCATGGACGAGGCGCGCGGCACCCTCCCTCTTCTCGAGGAAGAAGAAACCACATAAGCATAATCTTTTGGCGCTCCGCGCGGATTTCTTGGTTTCGCGCCTGGGCCCCCCCGCGGCGCCTCCGTCGCCGCCCCTGGCGCGCTCCGCGCGCCAGGGAGGGGGTCCAGCGTGAATCCAAGAAATCCGCGCGGAGCGCCAACAGTTTCTGTTTATGGCCTTTTTTATATTCTTCAATCTTCGCTGATCCCTCCTTGCTATTCGCAACTTGCTCCTTCTCCTGTCTCCCTCCCTCCTCCCTCCCCCTTCCTTCCACCTCCCAGCTCGGCTCCTTGCTCCCTATTGGCTTGACCCCCTTCTCCTCCTCCTCCTCCTCCTCCTCCTCCTCTTTCCCCCTCCTCTTCCTCCTCCTCGTCGTCGTCGTCGTCCTCCTCATCCTCCTCCTTCTCCTCCTCCTCCTCCTCCTCCTCCTCCTCCTCCTCTCTCCTTTCCCTCAGTCTCCGTGAAGGTATTTCCTCCTCCTTCCCTTGCGTTCCTTCCTCCTCTCCTTTTCTACTGCTGCTGCTGTTCTACTGTTGAGGTCGGGTTTGGGATTTGTCGCCTTGGTGGGGTCTTGATCCCCATTAGCGCCGGGATTGATTTCAGTCGAGGAGGACTCGAAGAGATGGGGAGTTGGGGCGGCGGAGGAAGAGTAGGAGGGTCAAGTGTGTAATACTCGCTGCCTCGAATGCCTCGACAGTGTGTGTGTGTGTGTGGCGTTCCCTGCTTTTGCACCTTCTATGCCCTGTCGCCGCGCGCAGGGCCGCGACGCCAAAGCATGTGTGTGCGTCTGTCTGTCTGTCTGTCTGTCTGCCTGTCTGTCTGTCTGCCTGTCTGCATGCATGCATGCATGCATGCATGCATTCATGCATGTATGTATGTATGTATGTATGTATGCATGCATGCATGTACGTATGTATGTATGTATGTATGTATGTATGCATGTAATAATTTATGTATGCATGTATGTATATACGTACGTACGTACGTATGCATGTATGTACGCATGTATGTATGTATGTATGTATGCATGCATGCATGCATGTATGTATGTATGTACGTATGTATGTATGTATGCTTGCATGTATGCAGATATGCATGTATGTACGTATGCATGTATATACGTACGTATGCATGTCTGTCTGTCTCTATGTTTGTGTGTATATATACATACACATCTGTATGTCTGCCTGTCTGTCTGTCTGCATGCATGTATGTATGTATGTACGTATGTATGTATGTATGTATGTATGTATGTATGTATGTATTCATGCGTACATACAGTGTAGGTCTGTATGTATGCATGCATGCATGCATGCATGCATGCATGCATGCATGTATGTGTCAGTGGTTACTCGTGGGCGTCGTGCGCGCAAGAGGTTCCGATGCCGACGCGATAGCCTGGGACTGCTATTGCCTGAACAGCACCCAGCGCGCCATTCCAGATGCTCGGTTGATATTGTGTATGTTGTTGACGGAGTCCACACTTCGCGCCTGCCTGCTCTTGCGGGCGTTGCTTTTCACTGTTTTGGTGCGTTGACCCTCCTCGTCCTTCTTCTTCCTGCGCTGTCCTGCACCGCTTAGTTTTTTCCGGCCCAGTTTGCCACTGCTCGCTGGAGTACATTCTCGCCACGCACGTCACAAGGAAACAACTTTAGCTGCTGGCATCCCGTCAGCTTCACCTGCTGGTTGGATTCTGAATCCGACCAGTGGTTAGAGTGAATCATTGCTGGCACGTCGGAGGAGAAGGCCCGCTCGCGTAGCACAGCCTCCCCTTTCGCGCTTTGGCCCTCCGACTTGCCTGGCGCGGTCCGCCATCTGCAATGCCAAGTGGACTTGACGCTCGAGAGCGCCCCGTGTTTGCTCCCGCTGTAGTGATGTCGGACGGCCGCTGGAGCAAAACGTGTATTGCGGGCCAGTGGCTCCGTTTGGAGGAGGAGGAGGAGGGAGGAGGAGGAGGAGGAGGAGGAGGAGGAGGAAGAGGAGGAGGAGGAGGAGGAGGAGGAGGAGGAGGAGGATGAGGATGAGGAGGAGGAGGAGGAGGAGGAGGCGGAGGAGGAGGAGGAGGAGGAGGAGGAGCAAGAGGAGGAGGATGAGGAGGAGGAGGAGGAGGAGGAAAAGGAGGAGGAGGAGGAGGAGCAAGAGCAAGAGCAAGAGGAGGAGGAGGAGGAGGAGGAGGAGGAGGAGGAGGAGGAGGAGGAGGAGGAGGAGGAAGAGGTCCGTAGCCTTTTTGTTTCAAGTAAACAATTTCTCGAGGTGGTCGAGGAAGACCTGGCCCCCTGGCCGTTTCATTTCCCGCACGATCCAGTCTCCTTGAATTGACGTTCATTCGTCCAATAGAGTGCCCTCTCCTTTCTTTCAGTATTTCGCCTCCCAGTGCTCTCCCCGCGTGCGGGTGTTCAGGTGCAGAGCCAGAACTTCTGCCAAGGACGACGCGGTGGCGGGCAAACGGAACGCCCTTTCTTCTTCTGCCGCTGCTGCGGCTCCTCCTGTGGCTTTGCCTCCCACAGCTCCCCCGCATAACGTTCGGAAGTGTGAGGCAGATGAGTGTTTGCTGGACGACCACGACCTTGCCACGAACTTCCCAGAACCCGAGCAGTCGATTCACAAACTTCGGGTGTATGTGGACACCACAAAGGACGACATCATGCGTGCCTTCAACGGTGTCAAAGAGCAGTTCAATTCCGTGGGCGCAACCGTGCAGTCTGGTCTGGAGTCCCTGGGCTTACAGATCGAGAGACGTACCGGGTCAGTGGAGACCCGCCAGGATCGCTTGGAGCTTCACGTTCGGGGATTGGAAATTCAGAAAGTTGGAGTCCACCTTGGGCATCACTGCCGAGGAGACACCCAACTTCCATATCGAGACGGGCTTCAACAGGGAGCCCACCCCCACCATCGTCGTCGCACGGGGCCGCAACATGGTCTCCATGGAGCAGGTTGCCGACTCCATCAAGGATTGGGTTCAGTCTTCGAAGGTCCACGAGTCCATCGACATCGGTGACCCTGTGGCTAAGAAGTTCGACCTTCAATTTTCTGGAAATGCCCAGCTCGCTGCTCGTCGGGTCTAGCACGCGCTGTCCTGTGTCAAGAAGGGTCCGAACGACTGGCGTCGCGTTCAGATCAAAGGCGCAGAAGGGGATGGTGCAGGAACAACATGTCGGAGCTGATAAATCACCAGCCCAGATTCGGACGGTGATCGTTCTCACGGCGGTCAAAAGAACCCTACTTCGTGATCGCCCGATGCTCGAGCTTTTCAGCAACAAGCACAGAGGTGATAATTCATACACATGGAAGCCGATTCTTCGTCTGCGTGTGCAGCAAGATGCGGAGACACGCGGTGAGTTTGCCAACGCCAACCTGTCGGAGTTCAACATGGGCCGCGCCGAGATCGAAGCGGTCATCGCCCCGGCATTCGTCGCCAGGGAGACAGCCGACACGTCGTGAAATCTTTAGTGCTGTTCTCAGAGCATGGTTCTTCCAGCCGGCCGCCTTCTGTCTCTCCCTCTGGCTCCAGTGATTGTTCGTCTCGTGCCGCCTCTCCATCTACTTCTTCGGAGTCGCGAGCGCGAGCTTCGGCTTCCTCCTCTTCTGCTACTTCCTTGTTGGCTCAGGGTGCGGCTGCTCCTTCCTCTTCTGCCTCGCCGTGAGGAATCGCATCGGGGTCATGGTATGCAAGGGCATTGTTTCACCGTGGGTTTCGGGCCATGTCTCGGAACTTACAATGCCTATCATGTATCATATCCAAGGGGGCCATCGTCGGGGTTCAGGAGACTCACGGGTCACGGGCCGAGATGGATGATTACCTGTGCCACCTCTACCGCCCTGTTCGCTCTTCGGCTTCCTTTTTAGACGCGTCTCCTCGGCGCCCAGCTGGGGGTGCCATCGCCTTCTATCCTGATTTTGCGGCCCTGGGGCATGCGAGGCCACCCGTGATGGCGGCTGTGGTTCTCGAGAGGGGAAGGGCGATTCGCGCGCAGTTTAGCTCCGAGGGTGGTGTTGCGATTGCGCGCTATAACATTCACAAGTTTGGTTTCGATACAAAAGCGATGGGGCAACAACATCTCTGCCATTCTCTCTGGCCAGGCCGTAGCAGAGCGTGCCCCAGGGGGGCGGCTGCGGCGATTTCAACGTCGCGGCGGTGCCGCCCGCTGCCATCATGGAGGGCATCTTGCCGCAGCCTGGAGCTACTGTGCCAGGGGGGGGGGGGGGGGCTGGGCGTCAGTGGAGGGGGGAGAGGACTGCGGGTTGGGCTGCTCTCTCTGAGAAGTTGACGGAGGTTGAGGGGGGGGAGATGGGGGCTCACTTCGATTCTGCTCAGCGCGCCTTGTCCCGTTTCGATAGGGCCTCTGTCGGCGTGCCAGGCTGGGCAGTGGCTCGGGCGTCGGTCTCGAGTCGAGTATTTGGTTTTCCGGGGGTTCTTCGCAAATCAAAGCTGCCTGGCCACGCTGCCCTCCTTGTCAAGATCGCGCCTGGGAAGGAGCTCGGCCCCGGAGACAGATCCATTCGTCCTGGGATCTTCTCGAGACCCGATCATCGCCAGTGGCTGTGTCTATCTTAGGCGCTGGCCCAGGCAGATTGCTCTGACCTCCTCTGTTCCCGGTCAGCTGCGCGTCGCAAGTCTTCGATGGTAGAGGCGGCGAGGAAGGCGAGGGGCGCGATCATCGCCAGGGGACCGAACGACGAACTCTCCTTGTTTATTGTGTCCAGGTCCGTGGCCCGTGCGGTTTGGAAGCAGGGTGCCGTGTTGGCGGGAAAGCTCATTGGATTTTTCCATGTGGCTCGTCGTTTTCTTCGCGTTGACCTCTTCGAAAGACCGTCGAGATCGAGGATCCAGATGGCCTCGCCGTTTTCACGAATGAGCTCAATTAGCGCTTGAGCCAGTCCGCGCCCGTGCAGAATCAGTCAGAGCTGCAAGACCCATCGCCCGCTAAAGTGCAAGCGAAGCTCGGAAGGAAACTCCGAGGGCTTGAGCGTCG